ACCACACTCCCCGTTGTAGAAACCACTGCAGGGTTCGGCCCACAGCAGCTGGGAGCCCCACCCTCACAGGCCACCTCCAATGTGACCCTCCTGCCCTCAGTCTCCCCATCTGTGGATGGGTGGTGGCCCCCAGCCTGCTGCGCCATGTGGGGTCAGCACAGCCTCCCTGGGGACTGGGGACAGGTTGGTGGCCACTTCCCGAAGGGGGCTGGAGGGCTGGGCTGGGGCGGCCATAGCCTCTTCGGACCCACTGATGTTGTCCATATCTCATTAGAGCCAATTAGGGAGGCCGGGCACTGCGTGTCTGGCTCCGGGGCATGGGCTGGTGGGAGGGGCTGGGGACAATTGAATTGCCCACCAGACAAATGTGATTATCGGAGCAGCCTGGGCCCACCCTCCTGGGGGACAGGGCATAAAGGGCCAGGTGCAGCCGCCCCACCCAGCGCACGCCAGCATGCAGACCCTCGGTCCCCGGCGGAGGTGGCCCGGGCTCCCCTGCCCCAGTGCGCGTGAGGCGGCCTCCATGTACGGCACTGCCGTGGCCGTGTTCCTGGTCATCCTGGTGGCTGCGCTGCAGGGCTCCGCACCCCCTGAAAGCCCCTTCACCTACCACATCCCATTGAACCCCGAGGAGACCCTGGAGCTGTCCTGGAATGTCAACTACACCCAGGAGACGGTGAACTTCCAGCTCCTGGTCCGGAAGCTGCAGGCCGGCGTGCTCTTCGGCATGTCTGACCGCGGCGAGCCGGAGAACGCAGACCTGGTTGTGCTCTGGACAGATGGGGACAGAGCCTACTTTGGGGTGAGCCTACCTCTGGGTCCCCTCCCCTGGCTCCTGGCCAGTACCCATCTGACCCTCCTTCCACACCAATCTTCCTGAGACCCCCAAGGAAGATTTCTCTTACCCCACTCTCGATACTTCCTGGGCTTAGGGTGCTGACAGTGGGGCAGGTGGGGGAACCTCCATGGCCCTCCACTGCCTACCCTGAGTTGCTGTACTGTCACCTGGGACCAGTGTACTGGCACCCACCTGACCCAGTGTCAACCCACCCCACCCAAGGCACTCACAGCCTGCGCCCAGGGCTCACCGCCTGCCTGATGACAGGAACTTGCCTGATGGGTGAGCTTGCAGGTACCCTGGGTGCGGGACGGGGCATGCTCCTTATAGCTGTGCCCAGACCAGCGGGTGAGGGGTGGGGTGTGTATGGGTGCTCCTCAGGTGTGGGACAAGGTGAGTTCCTAGGACCAGCCAGGCTGAGCTTGCGACTGTCCCCAGACTGCCCAGACTGAGCTCTGTGCTGACAGTCAGAAACCCCAGGGTGGAGAAAAGAGAGGTCCCATCAGACTGTACGGGGTGGGCCTCAGGGCTGTCAGCCAGCTGGAGGGGGTCGCCAGAGGAGAAGTGCTCCCACCCACTCCCCATCCTCTGGGGGATGCACCCAGCGCTCTTCAAAACTGGGTGGGGAGAAGGGTCTTTGACTCTTGCTCATGGAGATCTGCGAGGGCCACGGGTCCAGAGGGGGATCCGGGGTCTTTGATGTTCCCTGGAACAGGACACCCCCCCCCACTGCCTACTGTGAGGGTGGCCCAGAGAGCGTCCCCATCCCGCACATGGCGGGATTAATTTGCAGGACGAATTCATAGGAAAATAAAGGCCATGCTGCGTTTCCTCCTTCAGTAGCGTGTCCTGAAAATCTTTCACTCTCGGTTTCCAGCTGAAACCTCACGGCCAGTGTCCTGCCCAGGTTTCAGAGCCATCCCACCGCC